AAACTTTTCTATCGAATTATCAACAATCCAGGAGCAAACATCTTGATTTCACTTCACTTTCCTCTTCTCAAAAGATACGGCATCATCAACTGTCCCAATAAATTGTATCCATCAATTATATGAAGCCTTGTAGAAACATCATACTGCGAAGTGAGCAGCCATATGCAATGTGTCGAGTCTGGCGAGTAATTAATTACAATATAACACTGAATAATTGGTGATGTTACCATTAATCAGGGTTCGAGATGCTGTGCAGTATAGTGGCAGCCAATATTAAGTACATGACAATTCCATCAGCTTAGCCTAGATAAATAATAAATTATCAGGTGAAATAGGATGCCATTTATTAAGGCTCATCAGTATTACTGTTGAAATTTCGGTTATATTGTGCAATGTAACTTGTTTTCCAAGTTCTAAGAGGAAATGATAGAATAAATTGAAATGAAATTCATTAGTTTTTTTCTGTGGAGGTTACTGCGCCACCGTGTAAATCGAATCATATTAACGTACTCCTGGTTACATGGAAAAAAATACTGAGGACATTCTCAGAATACATGATTGCATAGTTTGTTTTTTGATCCTAATAACATCAAAACAGATCCCTCCTCTAATTGTCAAACCCATCATGATTCATAAGAAATGGCTGAAGTACTTGTAAACAATGGATAACCTGTGATGCGCTGTTTGGAACCTTTGGTGTAGTAATGAATATTACTGGAGTTTTTTTCAACATCAAATTGTTATTTTTAACATCTCGATACGTGTTTCAAACACCAAGGGATCATCTTCAAGAGGAAGGTTCATGTTCTTCGTCAGGAGGTGACCACCTGAAGAATCAACTGACCGTGTAATGAGGAAATGAGGAAATGAATCGATAAGGAACACGGAGTACTGAAAATTAACTTGGCAAAACATTTCGGAAAACTTTCAGGTAAGGACCACCTGGAATAATAACTGAAAAGCAGCTTCAACACTTTATGAATGTGGGATCTTTGAGCGTCGTTGTGGTCATGTACAGGTTGGGGTAGACTGAACAAGTGTATATATTAACATTCTGCCGATGATCTTATGCTTGAGAAAGTTAAAAACGCTGAGATGAGGTTTTTGTGGCTAGCGTTGCTGACACGACGAGGACTTGGGAGTTTTTGCGAGAGACATAAAAAGTCAGTCACTGGAGCCCGTCGAAACTAGTTCGGGGGTCTCATCCCTCAGCCTTCAAGGATGAGGAAAGTGGCCTAAATAGGAGAGTTATTCTGTTTTTAAGCTCGTGGTGCGAAATTAAAGGAAAATCGGTAGTGAAATCGTAAGCCGATATTGGGTACAGGGAAGTTGGGAAATAAAAGTGTTGATGTTGAAGACACACGGGGTCAAAGGAACCTATGGTTGACCCTGAACCACCGAACGGGCGTTATGTGAGTGTTTGTTTTTTCTTACTACCCAGTTGATATTGAGAGAGTTCACATATTACTTTTTCTGAGTTCACTTCCTATTTGCAAAAAGGTTATATATTGTTGGGTCTCTAGTGCGGGTTGTGTAGCTAGAGTTCATATTACAATTACAAAAAAGAGCGCAAATTTAAAGTTATACACCACTCTCCCCAAATTCAAAGTAGAACTGAACGTATTTTGTACGGAATTGGTGCGTTTGTAGTTGATTAACAGGTTGAAACATTAGACTATGGAGTCGTTGTTTTACTCATTATTCTTCTTTTTTGAAACCTTGGACTTATATTTTCTCTTGGACTGGGAAAAATACCTACCCTCTTCGAAGAGTAAGAAGAATTCAAGAAAACAAAAACAAATTAGAGCCTTTTTAGTCGATTTATCGAGAAGAGAATAGTAAGGCATCGTTCTGGAACCATATAATGAGAGAGAATATAAGTAGGTATACCAAATGATCAGATTTCATGATCATTTGTTATGATCAATGTTTTTTGAATTTTTGTACGTTATAACACTGTTGATAGCATATGATCTACCGTAGTTATCACAAGCTGAATTTCGAATAAAAGCCTGTCAATACTGGGTCAGATTTCATCGTTCCGTACTATCATGTATCAGAGTGTTGTTATTATGAAGATTTTGGAGTTTATATGAATAGAATTATCAGACAGAAGTTTTTTTATGATTATTATTTATTTATTTACAGTCTCATCGACTTCTAGGGTCATTAGCGACTTGTCGATATATTACATGTTTATGGAAAAAACATATGTATGTATGTAACAAATTGGTATCTCTGTCCTTCGTTAATGGTGAGAAGCCATAATTTTATATTTCATTGTGATATAGCATGCACTCGGTGAGAATATGTTTCACACTCCAAAGACTATCACACACTTCACATACTGGGGGATTTTGTTCAGATAGTAGATACCCATGGGTGAGACGAGTGTGGCCTAGACCAAGACGAGTTAAAATGACCTACTGGCGAGTAATTAATTACAATATAACACTGAATAATTGGTGATGTTACCATTAATCAGGGTTCGAGATGCTGTGCAGTATAGTGGCAGCCAATATTAAGTACATGACAATTCCATCAGCTTAGCCTGGATAAACAATAAATTATCAGGTGAAATAGGATGCCATTTATTAAGGCTTATCAGTATTACTGTTGAAATTTCGGTTATATTGTGCTATGTAATACTTGTTTTCCAAGTTCTTAGAGGATATTTCAATGCATTTTTGAAATTGATAGAATAAATTGAAATGAAATTCATTAGTTTTTTCTGTGGAAGTACTGCGCTACCGTGTAAATCGAATCATATTAACGAACTCCTAATCACATGGAAAGAAATTACTGAGGACATTCTCAGAATACATGATTGCATAGTATGTTTTTTGATCCTAATAATATTAAAACAGATCCTTCCTCTAATTGTCAAACCCGTCATGATTCATAAGAAATGGCTTAAGTACTTGTAAATAATGGATAACCTGTGATGCGCTGTTTGGAACCTTTGGTGTAGTAATGAATATTACTGGAGTTTTTTCCAACATCAAATTGTTATTTTTAACATCTCGACACGAGTTTCAAACACCAAGTGATCATCTTCAAGAGGAAGATTCATGTTCTTCTTCAGGAGGTGACCACCTGAAGAATCAACTGACCGTGTAGACTTAGATAATCAGTTTCATACATTGATCCTGAATCAGTTATGGTGGTACCAAGATCTATGGTACGGAGCCAGATGAGAAAATGGATCGATAAGGAACACGGGCTGCTGAAATTCACTTGATAAAACATTTGGGAAAACTTTCAGGTAAGGACCACCTGGAAAAACAACTGAAAAGCTGCTTCAACATGAGCTGCATGGCACAAAAAAATACACGATAAATCGCTAGTTATTGTTCATTCAGTAGAGGATATTTCAATTGAAATAGAGGTGTACAAAGGATTTCTCAGCTGCAGATGGTGCAAAAAGGAACGGAATTGCTTTCCACATGCAAATATGGAAAGCACTTTTTACCCATGTCTAGAAGAATATGACAAACATCCAACGAAGATCTGAACAAACTAATGCAGATAATTTATTCGCTAGTCATTTGAAGATGAGAAAAAACTGTAATATATCATGAGATTTGAAAGAAATGGACAGAGCATATGACTCCTAACTAGCAAATAGAACATTCCTGAATACATTAAAATTTCGAGGGGCGTCAAAAATCTGAAGTGAATACGAGATGCGAATGTTTTTATTGTAATAATTGATATTGCGATGATAACGTAAAATATTATTTTATTCGTGGAGATCGAGGTCGACAACCCGGTTCTTCAGTGTCGAAATTTTCCCAGATGAAAGCTACTTTATAAATGTGGGACCTTTGTGCGTCGTTGTGGTCATGTAGACTAAACAAGTGTATATATTAACATCCTGCCGATGATCTTACGCTTGAGATAGTTAAAAACGCTGAGATGAGGAGACTATCATCACACACTTCACATACTGGGGGATTTTGTTCAGATAGTAGATACCCATGGGTGAGACGAGTGTGGCCTAGACCAAGACGAGTTAAAATGACCTGTGCTCTTCTTCCAATGGGGGTGTTTTTCTACTGAGATACTGACTGTTTCATCTCATGAAGTTTTACTGACGAACTATCCTATTGGGATTGCCAACTGCTGATGATCGTTTGCTTGTATAGAGATTTCAGATCCGTATGAACAGCAAGTGACTCTGTATCTGTTAGCGGGTTAGTAATTGCTTCTTCCGCTAATTTGTCAGCTCTTTCATTTCCAACTATGCCAATGTGTGAAGGGACTCACATAAACTGAATGAAAATATGTTTTTCATATAGTGAGTGGAGAGACTGTTTTATGAGAAGCAAGATGGGATGATTGGATTGGCTGTATAGTTGTGTAATTGCTTCGAGAGCGTTCAGTGAATCTGTGACAATCAGGCATTTTGGGATGTTCTTTGTTCCCATGTACTTTAATGCTCTCCAAATAGCGAATAATTCACCTGTGAGTATTGTGTTTTCTTTCGATAATTCAAATAAACAGCTGAAATCAGAGCTGGTGAAAGCTGCCCCTATTCCATCTTCCGTTTCAGATGCATCAGTGTATAATGGAAAAGAGTCTTCGTATTGCTCCAGAAGTTGGTTGAATGATCACCCTTGGATCACCCTTGGTTCGTAGTTGATTTACAAATATTACCGCGAAGGTGTGCGCCATAAGTACAGTTGTGATGCCAGCAAAGTATTCCAGGAGGATTAGGAATGACAATTAAAAAATATAGAAATGTTTGCTCAGAAAATACATATGAACAAGTCATTCTATCGATGAATTGAAGAGATTTATCGGTATTCCAGCTAACATATTGAGGCATGAAAGTAGCTTATTGCTATATTCCATTTTAAAAATATTTGGAATATCTTGCTTTTTGATGAAATATTTCTCAATCTTGTTGAAACTGGACCAAACTACTGGGATATTCTATATCACTTCACACAATTCTTCCCTAGATACAGTAGTACACATATCCTTTTTTTTTTCAGATCATGGAGACTGCAAATCACATACCCGCCACCCTCACACCTCCAGTGCTCATCGCCGTTCCATCCGAGCTGACATCCGGACGAACTTCAGCCACGAAAACGGTGACACCGGAACCTTCACCCAGGTGTACTCCAAACAGAGCGCAAAGCTGGTGCTAGATTGCACCGTCAATATCAATTTCAGCACGAGCATCTGGCTAAAAGATGGCCAGATAGTCCAAACCATACTCAAGGACAACACGAACAATAAGAGAGTGATCGGTCATAGGTTTCTCGTGGACGCGACCGGTAATTTGTTTATCGATAACGTCAGGTTGGAAGACGACGGTAGGTGGCAGTGCGAAGCCGAGGATGCTTTTGGGTTCGTTGTGCAGGGCAGGCCGATACAACTGACGATTTTAGGTAAGTGTGTTAGTTTTTTTTCTTTTGAATGTGGTTGACAATAGTGAGAGAATAGACAAATATACATATTTCGCTCCTATACCTTTTCATCATTTTATAAAGGAAGACTAGTAACGCGATCCATCGATAAGATTTTTTCGAGAAAAAATTCAGATTTTGAAAGTTTTTTGATTTTTATACACATCGTTGGAAAAATCACTAAATGTCTACGATTTTAAAAATGTACAGTAACCTTCTCTCTCAGTGAAGATGATCGGTTGTCCTGCCGTAATCGTGCCATGTCATTTGAGAATCGATATATGTATATGTTAACATATTTTTATTTGGACGTCCGTTATTTTACTGATCGTCCAATATCGATATGTATTTTCTTTCCTTTTTGGTACGTTGAGTCTCAAAAAAATAGATCCTGAAGTGAAATATTAGTAAGCAGTGAAGATGGCAGTGTCAGTGTGAGTTTTCAGAAACTCATCAATATCGAAGACAACATCTGGAATTGAATCAATCATCATATAATCACTGTAGCCCAGAAAAAATGAGCACAAAACAGTATAGTATAGGGACATTAGGTGACATTGGGAATAAAATACATTTTTATGTCGAAACGAGCTGAAAGTGAGTTTTGTATCAGTAAATCGAATGAATTATTACACTTCTTTTAATACTAATATCATGAATATTTCGAAATAAAGTTCATTTTGAAAAATATTTCGAATGAAATTAATATCATTCAATTTCATACAAAAAATATTTAAAAAATCCAACCACTCTATAAACTCATTAATTTGACATTAAATTATTTTCAGCAGCTATTATTCTGTTATTAAGTGATGAACTCTTGGAATATTTGGCACCCACTTGAAAACTGTGCTAGCGAAACATGTGATATATTTTTCAAAATGGAGTTTGTGAAGATCGAATCGAGAGGTGTATGTAGTTTTTGATCATACTTCTGTGTTTATATTCCATCATTTTTTTTCTGTGAAATCAGATTCACTGCCACGTCCACTATCATACTATTCTGTGAGCAAATATACCTTCAACTCATTGTTAACTTACAAAAAGTGAAGTCACAATGTTGAAACAGCATTGGTCGCTTCCCTTATCAAAGCTTCAATGTGAACAGCAAATAATAGTAGAGAATCTTGTTTTTTTCTTTTTTTCTGTGAAATCAGATTCACTGCCTTCCACGTCCACTATCATACCATTCTGTGAGCAAATATACCTTCAGCTCATTGTTAACTTACAAAAAGTGAATTCACAATGTAGAAACAGCATTGGTCGCTTCCCTTGTCAAAGCTTCAATGTGAACAGCAAATAAAAGTGGAAAATCTTGTTTTTTTCTTTTTTTCTGTGAAATCAGATTCACTGCCTTTCACGTCCACTATCATACTCTTCTGTGAGCATATATAACTTGAGCTCATTGTTAACTTACAAAAAGTGAATTCACAATGTTGAAACAGCATTGGTCGCTTCCTTTATCAAAGCTTCAATGTGAACAGCAAATAAAAGTAGAGAATCTTGTTTTATTTAATTTTTTCTGTGAAATCAGATTCACTGCCTTCCACGTCCACTATCATTCTATTCTGTGAGCAAATATACCTTCAGCTCATTGTTAACTTACAAAAAGTGAATTCACAATGTTGAAACAGCATTGGTCGCTTCGCTTATCAAGGCTTCAATATGAACAGCAAATAAAAGTAGAGAATCAGGCTAGGTTCTGCATCTCATCGATATCCGGGTCGTTTGTCGCTGATTCAACATAACAAACCTGAAAATACAATGACGGTTTCTGAACTTGTATCGATGATGAACATTGAGAAGTTATTTGGTGGAATCCTTGTAAGGCTTCCACGTAAAAAAAGCTGTTTGATAAGCGTTATAAGCGTGTCATGACCTGTTCAGCATCCACCTAACTTTTTTAATAAAAACTTCTTTGTCTATTTTTCATCACCGTTATATGGGGTTCCTACTATTTAATTTTGAAAAGCTTTAGAATGTCTGTAAATTGATTCAGTCTCGCACTTTGTGAATTAAAATATCATGTAGTAGGCAAATATCCTGTCAGCTCAATGTTAACCCACAAAGATCCAGTGTATGTTTTAACTGATTCAATGGATGTTGTTGTTTTCGAACCGAACTTTCAAAACTTAAGACGCAAAGAGACTGCAATGATTTTGTTTCTCTTGAGAACATTGGCTCTATATGAGGTAATGTACATCCAGAATCACAAACTTCATTATAACTCATGCACACGACTTCAGACTTCACTTTACTCATTGGCATCCCAAATCAGACTTGTGTTTATTGGTTTTGGTGAAGGTGCTAATATTTATTAAATTGTCTCTCCACCTTTTTACGATTAAACCTCCACCATAATTCTAGTAAAAAATCGGTATATTTTCAGAATGTCGTTTTGTATGCTAAAATGTGCAGGATCATAATAGCCAGACATAATTATATAAATAAACGAAACCCAATAAAAATATATCTGAATCATCTATTGAATATTGTACTGTACACAAAAACTGATTTATTAAAAAAAATCTGTTCAAAATATGTTAAAATATGTTAATCAGCTGTCTCCCCCATACGAACGGCAACTCTCAGAAGCTGAGAAACTTGTGCAAGCTAAGGACTAACGAGATCTTACCTTTCAACGTGTGAGTCCTAACACGGTTGCAGAATCATCCCAGCTTCAACCAGATAAATTCTCTCTCTCTCTCTCGAGACGGGGATCGAACCCAAGGTCTTCCGATCGTGAGTTGCATCGCAGCCAATTCCACATTTCAAATCAGTTAATCCTTCAACTGTTCATCCTTACGGGTGTAACGTTATAGAATAGTGACAAATTCATTTTGAAAACAACCCTGTGCTGATTTCGGATATGTTTCTTTCAACTGTCAAAACATGGAAAGACTACTGCGAAACAAAATTCACAGTGAATGAATTAAAAATAACAAAACGACAGCATGGAATTCAAGAACATTTTGAATGAATAGATAGTCATAGAAACTATTTTTTCAATTTTTGTAACAATGAACTAATTGGAATTATCAACTCGATTGAATTAATTTAGTGAATATCAGATTATTTCAATTATTTATACAAACTTGAATGCACACATATATCCATGGTGTTTAAAAGTAGTACATAAAAACAAACATATGATATCACATTTTAATAATTCATCATCTGTTATGACATATTTGTGGCATTGCCTACAAACATTTCCACTCATATCACCTATGCATATGTGCCTAATGTGCCTAATCCCTATGTGTCTAATGAGAGGTTTTTGTGAACCTTATACTAGAGCAATTTCTTAAAAAAAGATCTAACCTCGTGAGATTCAGAAATTTGAAATCATACGTCGAAAGATTAGACCCCATTAGTTCTTAGCTCGCACATGTTCTACTTCTGGGGATTGTCGTTCGTAGGGGTGCGACAGCTACCATATCTAGAATATATACATATAAGGAACACTTATAATGCTCCGTTCAGCCGTTGGTGAACAGTAACTGTCCATTCTAATAAATAATCGGAAAGCACGAAAGTGGTCTGTGATATTTGTGGATTCAATGTCTCATGTGTTTCGAAATCTGAAAAATGAACAGAACTAAATCAACAGAGAATATGCTAAAGTGTAATAAAGGACGAATTTAAAAGTTTATTCAGAAAGTTAAATTATCTAAAAGAACAATTCGTTCAGGCAAGTCTCAAATTACCAACACTGTAGGTTAATGGACTGACACCTATCAGAAAACAACTTCTCCCCTGGCTAATACCACGAAGGATTATATACGACAGGTGTCAGTGCAGGATTATTCACCGAAGTTATTCCTGCGTATGCTCTTGGTGATACAACTGTCGCAATCGATTTTCAATGATTGGAACACACTTGCAGACTGGTTTCGGGCTATTTGTGTGTTCCAAAATAATACGGGAGTTGAATTGCCAACAGCATATGCAGAAATAACTTCAGTGAATAATCCTGCACTGACACCTGTTGGATATAATCCAACGTTCTTTATGGTATTAGCCAGGGAAATTGTTGTTTTCTGATAGGTGTCAGTCCATTAACCTACAGTGTAGACAATTTGAAACTCGCCTAAACGAGTTGTTCTTTTAGATAATTTGATTCACAGCCAGTCTCCAAGTATGAGCACTCATTTTGTGAAGAAAGGTATGGCTCTATGAAGAGTCGAATTATTCAGTTACTTGTCGTAAATATAAATTTTGACTACGAATCGGAATATTCAAAGAAATAATCAAATTTATAAACCGAGCTTTCTTTGGATGGTTAACATTTCGGAAAGTAATCACTTATAGAAACACTTCAGACGAAATCAGATATATTTCCGTTGACAATCGTCAAAAGAATAAAATGTTAAGATGTCATATTCGACAGTCTATATGGATACACACATAGGATGTTTTCCGAGAATTCAATTTAGGTTCATATTTCCATTTTCATTCTGGAGCTTTAGGAATAGCAACCGAATAAGATCCATTTCAACGAAAATATTTTCAATGAATTTTTCATCTACCAAATGAATATATACGTATCCTTTGAATTATCTACTTCTGTGGTGGGTTTCGTTGCTGACAATTTTTGTTTCTTCCCATTCTGCCGCGTGATTTCATGTATGATCCTGTTATCTATTTCTACCGAATGTATTCACGATGTTCGTTTTTTCTTATATCTAGAGAACCATCTACATATATTATAAATACAGTCTCTAGATTTTTCGAAATTAGTTCTTGTATCGATCATATCTGTAACCGATTTGTCGTAATTTTTCGAATATACCAGAAATATAGAGTATAACTTGAGTTGTCAGATACGTGTGTTGCTGGTGTGTGATGAGCATGTGGGTTACTGTTTTTACTAATTTCACCAAGAACTCTCTCTACAAACTGTTCCGGATACCCGTTCTCCTTCAGAATAATTCAATAGTAGTTATTTTCTCTTTCAACCTGATTGCAAACAACCTGAC